AACATTTCGTTACCCCTACAATCATCCAATCTCTTAGGCTTAATCATACAAGCCTGCCATCTCAAAGCACTAACCACCTGCATAACTAAAGCATACGCATTCAAATACAACCCCTCAAACCTCCTCCTACACCTTTCTTTCCATATAGCCCAAAAAATCAACATAGCAACTCCCCTGATCAAACAATGACTTAGGGATTGGGCCTTAAAACATCTAAGCAACCTTAATAATCTACAAATAGGGGTTTCATCGAAGCACAGCACAAATCCCATGATAGAAGATAGTCTTTTCCACACATCATGAGCAAAACAACATTTAACAAACAAGTGATTAACATTCTCCTCCTCCAACCCACACAAACTACATTTACTTACCAAGGATTCAAACCAAGGTAGCAGAACTTTAAAGCATCATAGAATTATCAATGCATTACTTGGATTTTGATGTTAACTTGAATTTGTGTACTTGTACACCTTGATCCATGTTGCATTTTGTGAATTGTTAATATGATTATGTGCAGTGGTTGGGAAGTTGATAGTATAATTGACAAAATTGTTATAGATGGAAACAGGCAATGAACACACTCAGGATGATGAGGTTGTAGAGGTTGACAATGACAAAAATGTAGCCATATGGACGTCCAATAAGGAGACACTTTCCATTGACTTGATGGATAGAGAAGTAGTAGCGAAGAATAGACCAAATACTACTTTTACCAAACTTGGGTGGAAAAATCTTGTAAGAAACATGCAATTAAGCACGGGATACAACTATACGTATGAACAACTACTGGGAAGTTTAATAATTTGAGACCTATTTACCATGCTTTCAAGAAACTGTTGAATCAAACTAGAATTGGTTGGGATCCCATGAAGAAAATAATTGTCTTGGAGGATGAGGTGTGGAAGGATTTGTGCAAGGTAGGTTTTACTATTGATTATTATCCATTTTTTTTAACCATAATGACAAATGGTTTTAGGTTAATAATTATTGCTTACCTTTCATTATTTTCTTTTAATATAGGTTAATAAATATGCCAGACAATTTAGGAAAAAATGGTGTCCACATTATGAGAAGTTGTGTAGGATTTATGAAAAGACAACAACAACCCGTGATAATTCTCATCCATCCACCAAACATCCATCGGACAATGAGGAAGATAAAGACCCTACCTTTGATCTGTCACTTGAGGTTAATGATGATGAGGAGAATGTGGAGACAGTTGATAAAGGTACAAATAACCATCCTCGAAGTAGGCCTACCACTCCAACAACTAGTCGTCGTAGGAATAAGGGTAACTATATATCTGTCCTTAATGTGTTGGTTGAGAATTCAAAGAAGAAGTCAGATTATATTGATTATAAGATGTCTAGTGCGTCTATGGCGACGACTTCATGTGGTGATAGTGAGGTTGTTACGCATACTGATGATCTGTTAGAAAAATGTTTGGCTGCTTTGAATTCTCCCGAGGACATTGATGGGGCTTCATACACAAAGGCCATTAAGCTTTTTGGAGATAGTATGAACTATAGGAAGATGTTCTTGTCTATGTCAGATCATAGGAAGAAAGATTTTGTTACGAACCTGTGATGGTTGTACGTTAGCCTAACATTTTGGATGTGTACTTTGAGATTATATGTACTTTAGTATTCTGTGTAGGAGTTGGAATATGTGAACTTTGGTATTATATGTAATTTTGTATTATGTGTACTTTTAGAGTATGTGTACTTTTGGAGTATGTGGACTTTGGTATTATCTGTGCTTTTGGATTTAAGTTTAATTATTATGCATATTTATAATGTGTTGTGATAAATGTCTAATAAGTGCATTATGTAAGGATATTACAAGTAGACTTGAACATTCAATAATGAATTTAGATGAAAAATTTGATATGATATTAGATAGTGATAATGATATTTCTATTGTATTGACTGCAATAGAATTAGATAGTCACAATACATCACAACGACCATGTAGAATATCTGCTCTTAAAGGACATAATTACGTGTTAGAGCTATTACATGGACATGAAAGTAGGTGCTATGAGCAATTTAGAATGGACACACCAGTGTTTGTATTGTTGAGTGAGACATTAAAAGAAAAAGGGTTGAAACACTCCAGGTTTGTAACCGTTCAAGAACAAGTTGCTATATTTTTACTTACAATATCACATAATAAGTGAAATCGCATAGTAGCTTAAAGGTTTCAGCATTCGGGGGAGACCATTTTCAAATACTTTAATCGTGTTCTGAAAGTAGTTTGTAGGCTTGGAGTTGATATCATCAGCCCTCCAGATTTTAGTATGGTTCAACCTCTGATTCATTTCAACCCAGGATATTACCCTTTCTTTAAGGCAAGTGACAATAATTTGCAATATATGTTGTAACAAAGTACTACTTTCAATATCATTCATGTGTTTTTCTTTTTCTTTGAAAAATTGTGTTGGCGTCATTGATGGCACCCACATTGATGCATGTGTTCCAGCGGATTCGCAGATACTATACTGTGGGAAGTGTACTGTACCAACTCAGAATGTAATGTGTGAATGTTCCTTTAACATGCACTTTATATTTGTTATAAGTGGGTGAGAGAATACTGCTCATGACTCAAGAATATTTGCTGAGTTTGTTGCTAATCCAGCCAACCAGTTTCCAATGCCACCAGAGGGTAAATATTATGTTGTGGATTCGGGCTACAAAAACATGCCTGATTTTCTGTTCCCGTATCATGGTGAGAGATATCACTTGCGTGATTATAGAGGTAGGGGTTAACAACCAACAGGTAAAGAAGAATTATTCAATCATCGACACTCTTCACTTCGAAATGTGATAGAGCATTGTTTTGGAGTTTTAAAGGCTCGGTTTCCCATCCTAAAGCTAATGCCTCCATTTCCTTTAACCACACAGAAATATATTCTCATTGCATGTTGTATAGTGCATAACTTCATAAGAATGCATTCTCGTCAAAATTAGTTATTTGACAACTAAGAAAAAAGAGAATTTGTTGATAATGAAAGAACTGTTGTTGAATCAAGTTCACAGGTCCTAATAGAATTAAACATAAGTCCGAGTTAGCTGCCTCAAATGGCTCGTGTCAGAGATACAATTGCTAATAAATTGAGGGCATCGACTCACCATTAATACATGTCCTAATGTTATTATTTATTATGATGGTAAAAATGTGTTGATACTTGCATAGTTATATTCAATTTAATGTTTATATGACTAATTTTTACTTGTTGATGGCACGTATTGGCCCTCCATGTTCGTGTGGCTCCGGAAACAAGAACATTTTGGTTGCAAAGATCAAACGAAACAATGGACAAACTTTTTATAGTTATTCACGATGGCATGAGCATGATAATTGTTTCATATGGGTTAATGAGTACAACACAATTACAAATGAACAGCAGGTGATTAATCAAGCCTAGTCAAGATGGAGGGAGAAGAAATGGATTACTATTTTCATGCTTGCTTGTTGTGGATGCAATTTGATTTTTATTTGTGCATTATTGTTTGTGGTATTTGTATTAATTATTGGAATTTTAGTTAAGTGATATGACTTATTAATGTCTGAACTTAGGGGCTGTATGTTGGACACTATGATGTATGAATGTGATCACTGACTTATGTAATATAACTATCTTTCTTTAGATGTTCTTTGATGAATTAGTGAATATTTTGGTTTAAGGAATGTTTGGATTTGTATTTTGATGTAATATAACATCTATTTGTATTTTATTTAGGTTGTCTAATTTAGGGATTGATTGCGGTAAGGTGCAGGGTTCAGGCCTTTTGGGTGAATTGGGATCCTCATTTAGGTGTTCTTGCAATATCAGCTTGGGAATGTGTATAGGGAGGCAAATTCCATGGCTAATGAAAAAAGAAATCTGGTTGTGCAAAATTGGTGCTTTGTTGAAGATCTTTAATTCATGGTTGTAAATCATTTTTCATGAAATAAAGTGTTGATTTGTTTGAAAACAAATAATGACGTATTATAAAGCATATTTAGGATAAAACTTGATTTAATTACCAAACATGTTTTCTGTTTTTATTCTTATAATTTGATAGACAAAAATGACTACCAAACATGTTTTCTGTTTCAGTGTTTATCACAAAACAGAGGCAAAAGACGCAAAAATAAAAATGTTACCAAATGAGCCCTTAGATTTTCAGACTCAAACCCTGATCTAACTAAGCGTTATTTCATATACTCTCCGTTGGTACAGCTGGATTTTCAGTTGTTAAAGATAAAAAAATTATCCATAAATCAGTATGTTTTGACGAAGTTCCTCCATTTTTTCTGAGGAAGTTAAGTAAAAGCTCCCCTGTTCCTCAAATTTCTATGTTTTCCCTTTTGCTAGCTTTCTTGCATTTTCCTTTTACGGTTCTGTTGTATCTGATATATGTATAACTGTTGCAGGAGAGCTTTGATAGGAATCAACAAAAAGAATCAGCCAATAGATTAAAAAAAACAGCATGCAGTGTTATAACCACTGCCAGGTTTTTTCTTTCAGCTCGCTCTCTCTTTCCTCTTTCCTATTTCCTCTCCATCATATGCTACTATAGCACCATCCCTTCGTAATGCACATGTAGTGTTCGTCAAAATGCCTACTGCTCCAATCACCACCACCTACACCCCTTACCCCAGTAGGCATCAAGGCATGAAGCCTTTGCTTACCTGTTCCGTTTAGGGGTTGGAATGGCGGTGGTGGTGGTGACATATTTATGATTATATTGCGGTTTTGGGTTGAAGGGTTGTGAGGTTTAAAATAGGTGTTCATTTTCCCATCCTTCCTTCCCTCGGAATTAGACAATAGGCATCAAATGTATGTGTATATTATTTGACAGAAGTGGGCAGGAGGTGAGGGAAAAACAGAATAAATAAAAATTATGATATTCATTAAGATGAAGCACCAAAGAACTGCTTTGACATGATATTATTTCAGTATGTCAAAACGCATGTCTTCAATATCTATAATAATCACAGACATCCTATCTTCAGGTCTTCAGGCAATCCAAACTCCTCCAAGAATGCCAACACAACTCCATTCGACCACCCGAACCCCGTCTGCAATTGCACGATACCGGAAAACAACTTTGTTTACAGCAAGTTTATTTAGTCTATCCATGAATACCAACTGCCAAATGTTAGAAACGCAGTGCAGTCCTTACCTGGGGTACATATTCGCCACCACCTCCAAATTTTAATGTATGGTTGTTTGATATCCATTTTGTTTTGTTTGTTTTTTGTAGTGGGAAGCTGTTTCGAAAATTTTCTGGATACAAGTCCACCTTTTTTAGATAAAAAGCTATAGGTGAATCTACAAATACTTACTGATCTCCCTCCAAGTTTAAAGGCTCTTACAAGTCCAACATAACAATTTTTCTTTGATTTTTCTTATTTTTTGGAGGAAATTTACATTCTTGGTTTGTAGTTTTTGGTTTTTTTTTTCCCATGACGAATTTTGCATTTGTATGTTCATCAAACTGAGTTGTGTTTCTCTGTATGTCTTTTTCATTTCAAACTTAATATTTTTTGTTATTCAGTGCTTTGGTACATATTTGTTCAATGCCTCTGATACATATTTTTCAGTTGCTATTCGGAAGGAGATTGGCCAATCATTCAACAATTCTACTTGACCAATCACATCATCAGTCAGCTATGTTGACGTTTTCGGTTTGATTTAGCATCTCACTCTTATTATGTTGTTATTTTGTTTGGTTTGAGCTTTTGCCTAAATTAAGTTAGTTTAAAATTGAACTGACTATAACCAATGCCTTAGCATTATGTTTGTAAGTTAGCATTCTATTTTGATTTAGCATCTCATTTGGTTTTTTTTCTCTGCTCGCATAATGACAGCCAGCCTTTGGACCCAATAAAAGTACTCAGCCTATGGTTTGTCTATGTGGGTTTTGAAATTAATTTTTTTGGTGTTGAATCTGGTGAGCTTCTTTGAAATATTGGTTGCTACTAGGCCTCTATGTCATCTTTGCATTGTTGTTCTTCTTATTTCCCTTTGTTAAGATTTTGTTTTATTAATTTTGTTTCATTTTCATAGCAGTGGTTTGTTCATGGAGGTTAAAGTTATGTTGCGTTTAGATTTGCTCTTAATTGTGACTTTAAAAGTCTAAGGGGGTTAGTAGGTTTTCAGAATGATAAAATATATAAATTTTGCATATGGGTTGAAATTTTTGAGATTCTATTTTTAGAGGAATCATAGGGCAATTGTTATAGGATTTATGGGGCAATTGTGCATACTAGTAATGCCATGAATACAGTTCCACTTATATTTTATAGTATTTTAAATGCTCTTCAAGTACTTTTCTTTGTTGTATTGTTATGTTAATTATTACATTGCTTTTGCATGGCGAGTTCATTTTTTTGATACTTAGTTGTTAGTTTAGTTTGTTGCTTAAGGTTTAGCTTTTTTTATACATTCGTTTATTCATCGCATTGACTTTTATTGGTATAGAAGTATAGTCCATGACCGAATACAAATATAAATTGCTTGTTATGAATTCAATATTTGATTTTTTTAAGTTGCGTCATGTCTTCAGGTACAGGTTATCCTAATATATATATATATACAATATAAAAATGGGTTAGTGCAATAACAATTTAAAATGTCGGTGGTTTTATGTCATGAACTACATCTTTGGTTCAGTTCAGGGGAGTGTAACAAGTTGATAGACATTCCGATGACCTCAGCTTAGATCATGACATCAAAAAATCCAATTCCTGAAAGTTGAAGAAGTAGATCAATAATGTATACACAATAACAAAGTCATCCCTTCCATTTTCGCTATCTCCATAGAACAAAACTTTTTTAACTTTGTAATTCGAATCCAACCAAGCCCCAGAACTGAGAGAGATGTACCTGGAAGTTCCGGGATCCTCGGTACTGACTGGAACATAAGACCGATTCTGATGAAGCAACAACGTTGTTGCCAACTCGATCACGGGCCCACCGGAGCTCGACGAAGACGGCGAAGAACCCGCTGGAACTCGAACGCTCTTCAATGCATCTCTATACTTTCTATACAACAAGGTCCTATTCCTCGTCGTCATTGATTATTCTGAACTAAAATCCAAATCCAAAGAAAACAACCAAAATAATGCTCTAATTAATACAATATTCTGTAGATCTGAAAAATGAACGGGGCAAAGAATATTATGTTAGATTCGGATCTTGTTTCTTAGCAGTTCAATTGATGAGGCTAGGATTTGCGAAGAGAAGATAGAAGATGAGACGTGAGGACGATGAGGTCGTCCGGAAGAAGGGACATTGCCGGTGGAGTTGGAACCGGATTCGGTGAGCTGCGTTTAGTTGCCGTCTAATATGTTCAGAGAATAAGAAAGGAAATGCGCCTGCAGAATAAAATGCGTCAGGTACTCGGGCGAAAGAAAATCAATGGATTTTGAATCCGGCTCAGATCGTTTCAAACAAATTACGATGTCCCAATATAAAAATTCGCTGAGACTACTTCAAAGTTTATTTGATCTGACAAATCAAAATGAGTTCTAAAAAAATCTCTCGCCTAAAGTTTTTATTTTTAATTATTATTTATGATACTTCAAGATAAATCTCAAATGTCAGTTCAGGAGGTCAGATCAATCCAAGAGGTCAGATTAGACAAGAAGAACTCGAAAGAGTGGAGTTGCAGGGCCCCTCGAAATAAGCAATGGCAATGACAATCAAGACAATAGTTGGATAATCACAAAAAATTTCTAAAGCGTTAGGAAGCTATAATCAAGGTGTCTAATCTCATCCAACCAAAATGTTCTCCTAAAATTAAGAAGAACCCCACAAAATAAGGACAAAAATCTTGGTCAGGATCCCACTTAGTAGGAAATGGCCCTATAAATGCAATGTAACACCTCCTAACAAGGAGGAGGAACCCGATAAACAAAAAGGAGCCATTATAACCTTGTAACGGCGATTATTAAAAGAAAAGGAGTAAGAGCCTTTATTCCAGAGTGGACTAGCCAAACTCTCGAGCTGGTAAACCATTATATTTCTACTGTGTTAATTCTTCAACTCCCCAACAATTCCCTCGAGTCTAATAGCTTAGATCCTAATAATTCTAATATTGTTTCTTTCATTTACTAGTCATCACAAAAATGGTTTCACATTGAAATACACCATCAGTTTGGCGCCGTCTGTGGGAAAGAATGTTCCTGTTACAAATAAAGCTGATTTTTTAGTGACTGATGGTATCAACGCGAAACATGAGCCGAAGCCAGACCAATCCTCTACGGATGCAAGATCAACAGGAAGCCGCAAATAACAGACAACCCGAAAACGCGCAAGAAGTCGATCCCCCCATAAGGGGGCCTTCCCATGAATAATGAGATGAAGGTCTTTCGTCTTGTCAATGAACGTCTAATAAAACAGAATGAAGTACTCCTAAAGCTCCTACAATGCCCACAGGAGGCGCGACCTGCCCAATGAGGCCAGAATAATCCACCACCAAAGGAGCAATCATATCTCGACCCCCTCAGAGAAGTTAATGAGGTGGGAGAGAATAGTCATACCTTGGGGCAAGAACCTCGCCTACCCCCTAGAATGGTCACAATGAGGAAGTGCAAAGTCAGTTTAAGGAAGGGGAGAGGAACGACTTCTTCTCCTATCAACAGGAGAGAAGAGAACACCACTGGGAGCAACATTTTAAAGACATCCAGCAAGAGTTCAGCCAGATGAAGGAGGCAGTGAAGAACAAGGCCTCAGTCATTATGGATGTCTTGGTGCAGCAAATCGAATCCCCATTCACTGCTGGGATGTTGCACTTCCCTCTCCCACCTAAATTCAGAATGCTGTAGGTGGATGCTTTCGATGGAACAAAAGATCTCGTAGACCACCTCAACACTTACAAAAATTAAATGAAGTTGCATGGATATCAAGATCCAATGAGATGTAGGGCCTTTGTTATCACCCTGAAAGGCTCAGCCTTAGCATAGTTCAACAGACTCCCCCCAGCCTCAATTTCCTCCTTTAAAGAACTGTCAATCTCGTTTGTGTCCCACTTCATCGGAGCTCGGACCTATAGAAAATTGAGCTACCATTTGTTAAATGTGAAATAGGGACCTGAAGAGAACCTACGGTCTTATGTCCAACGGTTCAACTCAGAATCCTTGAAGGTGGATATCCCAAATGAAAAATTTGCTATTACAGCCTTCATAGCAGGTCTGGGAGTTCAGTCAAAAGATCTGATATTTTCCATCTCAAAGAACCCCCAGGCTAGTATGACGGAGGTGCTTGCCAAAGTAGAAAAATACATAAATGGTGAGGAAGCGCTCCTCTCCAAGGTCGGGAGCCCTTCGTCAAGAAAGGAGAAAGGGAAGGAAGAAAATAAGAGAATGAAGTCCCAGGAAGGAAAGAGAGCGAGGCAGGTCTCTAAGAAGAGACAAAGAGCGTTCCCCGAAGAGAAGAGAAAATGTCAGGGATCGCCTCAGCCCTCTACAACTAGAGCTACAACCAAGGTATGCACCCCGACAGCTCACCCCTCTGACTGCTATAGTATCTCAGATATTGTATGAGATACAAAATGAGAGGTTCTTAAGGTGACCACCCTGGATGAAAGCAGACCCGACAAAAAGGGATCCTACAAAGTATAGTGACTTCCACAAAGACCATGGTCACCACACGGACGACTGTATCCAATTGAAGAAAGAAATAGAATTTCTAATCCAGCGAGGGCAGCTGCGACGTTATGTGGCCAATGATAATCAAAACCGAGCTCTCCCACCTCCACCCCCTCAGCATCAAGCACCAGAGTCACACTAGCAACCTATGGGGGAGATCAGAGTGATATCAGGAGGATTTGTCGGAGGAGGAAGGTCCAGTTCTACCAGAAAGGCCCACTTGCGTAAAATCAGAGCCACATAAGCTCCCAAAGTATATACCATGTCCAACTCTTCACGCTTAGACACGACTATCACTTTCTCAGATGCATATCTAGAGGGCTGCCAACACCCCCATGATGACTTTTTGGTGGTAAGAGCTGTGGTAGCCAACAGAATAGTCCACCGTGTTTTGATTGACAATGACAACTCGGCAGACATCATTTTTGCTTCTATTTTTGACAAAATGGATATAGGAAGGGAAAAGCTTGAACCAATAAATGCCTACCTATTGGGATTCTCAAGAGAAAGAGTGCAGCCCCTAGGGTCAATCCAACTCATCTTGACCTTAGGTGACCCACTCTGTCAGACTACAATAACTGTGAAATTCCTAGTGGTTGATGCACTTTCAGCATATAATATGCTCCTTGAAAGACCCTCACTCAATTCTATAAGGGCTATTCCATCTACCTATCATCTTGTAATGAAGTTTCCAACAAAAAATAGAGTTGGAGTGGTCCGAGGAGACTAGCGCGTAGCACGAGAATGCTACATGGCATCTATAAGAAGTAAGGAGGTTGAGAGCATCCAATTGGATGAGCTTGACATGAGAGATGAACTCGAGACCAGGCCAACACCATCAGAAGAGCTGGAATCTATTCAAATTGATGAGGAGCCAGAGCATCGTATTTACGTTGGATCCAAGCTAAGCAAGGAAATCAAGGATCTCCTCATCCAATCCCTGAAAGGGAACAAGAAAGTTTTTGCATGGAAGCAAGAGGACATGAAAGGGATTGATCCCTCTGTCATCACTCATAAGCTCAGCATGAATCCAGCCTATAAGCTCGTTAAGCAAAAGAGGAGGAGTTTTGCCACGGAGCATCAGAAAGCTATCAACGAAGAGGTCAGCAAGCTCTTTCACGCGAAAGTCATTCGAGAAGTGGATTATCCAGTCTGGCTAGTCAATGTAGTCCTAGTCAAGAAGACAAATAGCAAATGACGTTGATTAACCCTAATTAGTGTGTAAATAAAATAATTAAGTGATCAATTTTGTAAGATAAAATCGCTAAACATTATGAATTATAGTTTGTATGCAAAGTAAAGTTTTTAAGACTTTATGTGTAAATTTCAGGGTCAAATGCAGAAATAATGGGAAATATAATGCAATTTTGCAAGAGTTGAAACTATGAAGGACTAAGGTGTAATAAAGAATCATGGACAAATCAAAAGGCAACAAGTGGTAGCTCTAGAAGAAGACACCTTGCACTACTGCAAGGCTTAACCTTTAGGAAGGTTAAGGTAGGGGTTAGGACCCCCCCCGACACATGGAAGCTCCAGAACGCGACAAGTGGAAGCTTAAGATTGCAACATCTAGCTCTGCTACAAGGATCAACATTCCGAGAGGGGGGTTAGGACCCCTCCTTGGCCGAAATTTCACCCTCCCCTATAAATAGGGGTCTTGCCTTCATTCTTCAAGAGACTTGAAACATTCCACTCCAAGTACTCCAAGCCTTCACAATACCATTTCAAGAGAAAATTTCCTTCCTACCAATAAAGCTAGCTGGCCATCAAAGAGAGAAAGAAGAGAGAAAGAAAAGAGAAAGAAAAGATAGAAAGAAAAAGCCTTTGAAAGTTGGTCTGTTTGTTACTCTGTATTTCTACATTTATGAAATATCTTTCTATTTGGATGGTTGAACAGCCGCCACTTTTTTTTATCTTGAATGATATTAAGGGTGGTTGTGTTTCAATTGTTCCTTGTGAAAGAAGTTTTATTTTAATTGTAATGAATACTACTCACACTTCTTGCTTGTTTGTAGCAATGGAGCGTGAGTAGTCGTTTATACCCTCTAGTGTGAGGGGAACATATGTATATTACTGTTTAGATTATGGAAATACTGATGTTTTATTTATACGTTTATTTATATATGTATTATATGCTTTATGCGTGATATAGTGATGTGTATAATTTCGGTGTTGTGCCTTGGATTATATCATCAGTATATCATAAGACCCGTCGGTCTAACAACCACGACGTTTCTATCGGTATGACTTTGCTTCCACCGAAATGCTGAGGAAGTTGACTGATATGTGGTCCAAACCTAAATGATCCTCATGAATGGCTTGTCCTTCTGGATTATTAGGGTTGATTATTATTATATATAATTATTATGACAGTCTAACAACCACGATGTTCCTATCGGTATGACTTTGCTTCCACCGGAACGTTG